AGAAGTACATAAAGTAAATATTTCTTTCATAACTTAGTGTAAGTGTTTGATCTAGTGGATGGGGAATAAGACTAGGAGCTGGCAGACTTGGATTCTGTTGCCAGTCACTGGCCTTGCTTTGTGGTGTTCAGGAAGTCATTTCACTGCTCTGTGCCTGGTTACCCTTTCCACCTTTTGTGTCTCTCTCTTATCAATATAGACTTTTGGTTTTGAATCCCAGCTCTCATTAGGTCCTAGATCGGATCCTCTAACATGAACTCCAGTGCCTGTGCAGCTTTATTGACTTCCACTGTACTTGTGGATTTCATTGCAGGATAAAAGCCTGTTTTGACCAGAGCCAGCTCATTTAACCCCTTTGTATCTTTATTTGTGTTTCACACGTGGGTAAACAATACATACTTAATTGACAGGAATTGTGTGAGGCTTAATTTGCTAACTTTTCTAAAGTACCAGTACTTTGAAATCCCCACATGAGAAGGCTGTAAAGAACTGAAAAAATACTTCTCATGTGAGGTACTACAGAATTCTGTTCTGCTATAGTAAAAGAGGCTGGGGCATCTCATTGAAGTACCAGGGAAGACCTATGGTAGATTTTGTCTTGACTTAAAATATGACAAGATGCTGTCCTAAAGCTTAATTACTAGAGATAGGTTTCTGCATATTCTGATGAATATCCCATGGCTTCTCCCAACAAAGGTAGCATCAAATATCTCTGTAGAAGAGGATGATCCACCCTCAAAAGAACTTAAAATCTGTTCATTTAAAAACAAAAACAAATCTTAATTTGCTCACCACAAGTATTGCAGCCTCAATAACTCTTAATGCTTAATCTCTTATTCATTTAATTTGCTTTAGTCACAAACAAACCACCAACAAAAATGTCCACCTGACTAGAGAAAAATATTTCCACAAGCCTAGAGGCAAACTTCATGCTTCCTAGGTATAAATTAACATCCCAGCATCTGGACATGCTAGCATTACATGGGATCCGCGCTGCCAGGAAGGTACCCAACGTAAATATCAGTGTTCCATCTCACCTTGATAATCTTGTTGAATAAACAAACACATCAGTTTACAACAAAACAAGATTCCTTCCTATGTATAACTGGTACATATTTCATCTAGCTCTGTGTTTCAAATGTAATGAATAATATGACTCTTTTAAGCATTTAAAAATCTAGTTGCTGTGTAGGACCTAGAGAGTGCAGTTGAAGTTTTACCCATTGTCTTGCTGGGATTGAGACTTGGTTGAGGGCAAATTGTTTCTGATCTAATCCAGATACATTTATGCTAATTGGCAGGGGGAAGTAATTGGAATCATTAGTAGAATTCATATTGACTCTCTTTGTTTTCAATGCCTTCTGTGTGTTTTGCAACCTGGAATTCTTGATGAATTTACACCTGCTTCTAGATGTCCCATGTAACAGCAGGAGTCAAGAATATATATCTACAGGTGGCCAGAAAGATGTTGTCATTTCAAAGACAATCTTACCATCTTGTGTAACACTAATAAAATTATGTGACGTACACAAGCTAATAGTTTCTTGGTTTAATCTCGAGGACATTGGAGGCTGTGTATTTTCAGTGAGGAATCCATGACTCTGGAATTGATTTCTCATGTTGGTTTGCCAGAGACTGATTTTTGTGGTTAATTTTGTCACACTTCAAGGCACATGTTGCAGGTGTAATACAAGAGTATTACTTTGTGCACATTGGTCTTTACTCGGTGTCAAGTATCAGGGGGTAGCCATGTTAGTCTGTATCTACAAAAACAACAA